ATCTGTTAAGATAGTTACCTCTTTGTTCAAGCGACTATGATAGAAGTGCCCAGTGAACAATTTTGAGACTCCCCCTTCAAAGGATAAAATAAATTAGATTAGGGAACACTCTACATTTGTGAAACACCCCTTCCTTTGACTCAAGCAGCATATGTTTGACTCAACTTGCATCCTGTGTGTGCATTCCCCATTCATTTGTCTTACCTGGGCCTGGCTATCCACCTTCATTTGTTGCATCTATTGAAAGCCCATGCTTGTTGTTTGACAAATATCTTGTTGGTCATGTTTCAAAATTACAGGGAAAAAGAGTGGAATCCGCAAGAATTTAAATAAATAGTACTATCCATGCAAAGACAAAAATTGTACAAAAGTCCCTAAAACCAGATACTTCATTCAAATTTGAAGAAATGAGAGTTTTGCATTAAATGGTCATTATCATATTTTCTTGTTGCCAAACCATGGGGAACATAATGATCTGCTGTGATAATCGCTTGCCAGATTCTGTTATTATAATCAGCTAACTCAATTCTCCCTACCCATGAGACTTCCATTATGGTGATCTTCAAATAAAATACGAAATAGAGTGATGATTATAGAATCGGCAAGAAATAAAGTAAACGTAATGGAAATTAACTCTGAGCTATATAGAAATACAAGAAAATCACAAAGTTAAAGAGGGCAATTGAGCGGAATAAGCATATCTTGAGAGATTCCAAGCTTGGCCAGTTTGCAATTGGTGTAAATGATGAAATGGTGAAAGTCAATGATTAAAATCGCATGGTGGTCATGTTTTGAAATGGAAATGTTATGGAGAGTGAAATATAGTGAAATCAACAATGAATAAAGTAAATAGGCATGTAATCAACACTCTAAATTATATAGAAATGCAAGAAGATTGGGCAGCTCATTCAATATTTAGAGAAATTAACAAGAGATACGATTCTGTACAATTCTCATTTGCACATCCAGTGAAATTAACCAAGGGCCAATTAGCTAACTAATCTCTATTGACTGAATTATGAAATTATGTAATAACTGTACATGTAATTTCAGAATCAATATATGAAGAAGACCACACTAATTTAGATAAATTGAATGAGACAATGGAAATTTAAACGATAAGTTTGTCAAGTTTTACTTGGTCTGGTCATGTTTTACTTAAATTTCAATTTGCATAGAGTAAAAACCTCAGAAAACTTTTTCACTGTCCAAACCACGTTGTGAAAAAAGTTAATATCCAGAGAAAGTCAAAATAGGTAACATTAAAAAAATATGGCAATTATACAACAGATAAAATGTCTTCATTCAGACTGGAGATATAGAGACATGACATCTAGTATTTATTTTACTATGTTCCCAACACAAATGGTGATGGTTATAGTCTCAAACTTTTGTGCGTGGTGTTCGGCAGTTGGTGTTTGGTGGTCAGTGGTTGGTATTTGGCTTCAGTGACAAATGGCAGGAGGTGAATTTTGCATGTTAATGCCTTGTTTTATGTCACGTATTTAGAACCACATTAAAGTTATGAGTGAGATCATCTCTGAAGAAGTAGAACAGAGAACTCATTGCCTCAGTCCATGCCTTAAAATAATAACAACTCCATATCACCTAACACGGTTGATGAAAGTAGAAATGACCTTTGATTGTAATGATCAATCAACAAAATTCGCTGTCAGTCTTGAGTCTAAAATGTATTTTTGCTTCAGAATTAAAATGCATTTTTCTCAGTTGGAGTACCATATCTGGAATTAAAACATGCCTACAGTCTTTCATAACAATCGATAAGTATATTAAGTTTACTTACATGTATTGAGTGAAGAAGAAATTGGGTAGTAGATTATCTTCTAAGGGAAATTAGTTCCAGGATTACAATACTTCCAGTAACACTTCATAAGCTGCGAGAGCACTTCACGGGAGTCATGTTTCTAAATGGAAAATAAAGTCGAAAAGAATGGAATTATTGAGGAAGAAAGTAAATAGGCATGAAGTAAACACTCTAAATTGTATAAAAATGCAAGAAATTCAGATAGTTAATTCAATTTTTAAAGAGAAATGAGTAAAATCGTCATGAGCAGACGGATATTTTCTGTGTAGACATGGATCTATGTGTAGACCAGTGACTCAACTTTACAACCAGAAGCAAGTGCTGAATGAAGAGATATTGCAAAACATGAAATATTTTTTTATTTGAAATTGTGAATGTCAACATTTTGTTTTTAAACCACTAATTTAAATGCCTCTAATGCTTGTTCCCTGAACATCAAAATGTACAGTATTCATGGTTTTGTACATATTTTAGTTATTTCAGAGCGTTAAAGGAAATTATGTTCTATTGCTCTCTGTCAGTATTGATTGTTTACAGTATGGCATTAGCAAGTACACTGGTTAATGAGTTCCACCAAATGAATAATCTGACTTTGGAAAACTGTGAATAATATCACGGAAAATGAGTAATTTACCTTCAGTTTCCCATTGTTTGTGAGAAATCCATCCTAAACATTGGCACAGTTGGATTATACACATGAGGATATGAAATTGGTTCATTTATTCCAAAAATGAGGATTTTACAACAGAAATGTTCATTGTGGGACAGAACACTACAATTAATCATCAAGGATTTTTACAAGAGAATTTGGAATAAATCTAAGTACTGTTTAGGTGAGTTTTTTTTATCATTTTCTAGGGTGATCAGAAAATATAAATCATTGATCAAAGAAAAATGTTTATGTAAAAAACAACTAAGACATCTTTTTTCTGGATTGTGTTCAGTGTTTGGTGGTTGGCATTTGACCTCTGTAACAAATGGCAGGTGGTGATATTTTGCTTGTTAATGCCTTGTTGGAAAAAATGCCATACCTGCCCAATGTCCATTGTATTTTCTGATACCGGGTAGATATAGATTTGTCTTAATGTTAGAAATAAGTTCAAAGGTCCATTTAATTTTTGATTTATTGAATTCAATTTAAAATATGGCTTCTTCTATATATTTATATATTTACCGATACTGCTGGCTCCTTGGTTTTAGAGTCATTGTAATTTTAGAAAGTTTAACTGATTCGTTGAGATAATACCAAGGATACATGGACATAAACAAATAGCTACACAAGGTAGCTCATAAGATGTGCAGCTGTCTGAGGGTTTGGCTCAATATTTCAATCTGTCAAAACATAAATAATTTCATAATGGATTTGGGACTTTCTAGGTACATTTAACCTCTAATGTTATTGATATTACTCTTGTATTTAGTTTAGAATTAAGTTTTATTAATTGTATTATTAATCAAAATTATAGAATCAATTTTGCAGAACAAGTGGTGATTAAAGATTAAATCTAGCAATAATTCCCAAATTCATCCTAGTTGGTATAGTAGTTTATCTCAAAAGACAATGTAATATCCAAGTGAAACTTGAACTTGTGACGATTGTGAAATTGTTCTTTCCTTGAAATTCTTGACAAAACAGTCCTAGAGCTAGTAAATAGAGCTGTCAATCAAAATATTGAACTTGTGAAAGAGAAACTTAGATTTGCTGACTTCAGATCAGATTTAGATTTCTCAGAGCTAGAGAAATGAAGGTCCATGAAAGCTGTGCTCAAAATCTAATTTGAATACATGAATAGCACATTTAAAATACTATTTGTTGATAAATATATAAGGTCAGTGTGACCTATTTCTAACAAAATACAGTGAAACCTGTAAAGCAGAACACCTCTAGAAGTAGAACACCTCTGTTAGTGGAACACTTTTCCCAAGACTAATGACTTAATGTTTAATGAACCTTTATAAGTAGAACACCTCCCAAATAGAACGCCTTTTAGAGGTACCAAAGGTGTTCTACTTAGACAGGTTGTACTGTAACAATGAAATTCATATATATTTTGAACACAATACTAGTTTATTTCAAAATAGATACATAGGTTAGATATAATTGCTTATCAAAATATATTTCAAAGTAAGTTTTTTGACTGATGTAATTTCTTGAACTAACCCCAAATAAGGTACCCTAATAATTAGTATTAGAGCAATGAAGAGTAAGTTAGGACAGTTCCCAGATCTGCTATGTTTGTTTTGGATCACATGCTTACATAACATTTCCAAATAGAAACAAACATCTCCTGGAGAGAAGATCAGTTCAAGAAAAAGTGTCTGGACCAACTGACCCATTCAATCATATACTTATATTTTATTGGCATTTTTCTCAACTGACCCATTCAATCATATCCTTATATTTTATTGGCATTTTTCTCAACTGACCCATTCAATCATATACTTATATTTTATTGGCATTTTTCTCAACTGACCCATTCAATCATATACATGTACTTATATTTTTTTGGCATTTTCTCCAGGAACTTTGTATTTAAGACTTTATACTAGTTGAAAACAGATACCTTGGGCACAGAAATGCTTTATGCAACTGTGTTTTGTGAAAAGTATAGTTTCTGCAAAAGAAAACAAAATGATTATGATTGTAAAACCTGTCTAATCCGATTGAACACCCTTTGAACCAGCCAAAAGTGTTCAGATTAGTAGGTGTTCACATTTCAAGGTTTTTTTAAACATGTAAGTCGATGGGAGGTAACAAATTTGGGACTGAGAAAAAGTGTTTGCATTGGGAGGTGTTCGGATTAGAGAGGTGTTTGGATATACTAGTTTCAGAATGTAGTAAAACCTGTCTAGTCCGAACATTGCTAGAACTAGCCATAAGTGTTTGGAATATCAGGTGTTCAGATTTCAATGTTTCTTAAACAAACCTGGACTAAATTGGACTGAAACAAAGTATTGAATTGAAAGGTGTTCAGATTACAGAGATGTTTAGATGTACGTGTTATACATGGAGTAAAATATAATGGATTGAAAGAAATAATGCTGTTATAGTCTAGCTAACCCAATTATTTCAAGCCTTCAAAATGTACTTTTAGCCTCAAATCTGTAAAAAAACGTTAAATAAACTACTAAATTGTGTATATACAGATGTTTATAAGCAACTATTGTTTTGCAGACTTGAGTAAAGCCAAGACGAGCAAGAGTACCACTACACCAAGGAAAACCCCCCAAGAGCAACAACTAGAGACAATCACTAACTCCCTGGCTAAAGCCACAGAAGAGGTGACCCGCCTGGAGGGTGTCTGCGAGGAACGTACTAAGGAAATTGCCAATATAAGGATGTTGTTAAAAGACAGTACCCTTGGCATGGATGCATTTGGTGTGATGGCTAATTATCTAACACATGAGGTGAGTCAGAATTTTGGTGCATCATTATTGCATTGTGTTTCATTGCCATCCTCTACTATCGTCTCTTCAGCAGCTGGGTTTATTACTTGTCTCATGTATGCTACAGACCCTTAGCCAGGGGGGTTTATCGAGCGAATCTCCCCTCCCCTGGCCAAAATTTCTTAAAATGTTAAGCAGTTTTTCACCTATCTGAGTACATTTCAAGTGATTTTGGCCATTGTTGTCAAATATGAGCCCTCCCTGGAATTTTTCAAATTGTGAACCTCTTGGCAAAAGCTGGCTACATGCCTGTTGTATGATTTGAATCTGTTAACAAGGATGAGATGAGAATTATCTCAAGAATATGGCCAATCAATCAGAAGTCAGAGTTCAATGGGAAGCCCCTGTAACATAGGACAGGGCGACAGAGCTTGATACAAGACTCTCCTCGTCTATGCTAGTGTTGAATTTTACACTTTGTGCCTGTTACATGCCTAGTTTCTGTATCTATCCTCAGGAGTGTTTTTAAAGCATGAAAAATAGGCCAGAGGATTTAAATAGAAAAAATAAATTAAAAATGTTGGCAATGCCGTGACCAGGATTCGAACCTTGGTTACCACGGCCACAACGTGGGGTCCTAACCACTAGACGATCACGGCGAGGCTAGCAGGCCAACTTAAAATCAACAATGGAATTTTAGTACTTTATAATTTTTTTTATTAAATTGTCCTCAGGGGTGCTTTAATTATAAGTTCATGATCATTGTAATTAAAATTCAATTAAGTAATGAATTTGCAAAGGGCATTTACACATATACAGACAATAATGAGATTCATAAAAACAGCTGTGAGTTTTAATACTCTATTGGAAATCAATATTAAAATATTTAACACTGAAACTGCGAAACAGAAAGCGGAATAACAACGCAATGCATATGCAGTCATCATTTTTATCCGTGTTAAAAAATGGATCATCACATAAGGATTTACTTTATCCAAAGCTAAGACATCCTTTAAGAGATAAGCATAATCGTAAAAAATATAAGGTATGAATACAGAGTAAAGCTGACTGTTATTTGCACCACAAGTGTCAGTTATTCTACGGATTATTGCACTACTAAGTGAATTTCGTAAAATATCTTATTCTTGATATACATTGCTGGCATTATTAAAAAGTGAATTATTTTATCATAACCTGTGTTAGTGGAACACCTTGGTACCTCTAAAAAGTGTTCCAGTCGGGAGGTGTTCCACTTACAGAGGTTCATTTAACAATAAGCCAATAGGCTGCAGGACTGAAAAGAGGAGGTGTTCCACTTCACAGGTTTTATTGTACTTTCTTTGAACATGCTATATACTTACATTGTAGAGTTCATGTGCAAGGGACAAATGGCCTTCAAAGTTATGGATTGTGTAGTATGAGAATTTGTGTACAAAGAGACAAACACCATTCAAAGTTATGGTTGGCGATACTTTCTTTGAACATGTTAATACTGACATACTTACTAGAGTTCAAGGGACATATGGCCTTCAAAGTTTTTAGCCTATATGGTTTGTAGAGCCATGATGGACTTAAAGGAGCTTTTTGTTTGTTATTTCATAATGTTTGTCTCTATTACAGTTGGATGCCTTCTCATGTCCAGTGGTGAAGTCAAAGTTACAAGAAACCAAGCTTGAACTGGAAGAGGCCCACCAAGCTATAGGTAGGTGGGATAGGTGAACACCTAATATTTGCCTACATTCTGCAGGCCGGTAGCTGGGGGGAGGTGGTCAAAAAAATCACTCAAAATTAAGCAGTGTTTCTCCATTGTAGCGCTTAAAGTGCTTTTGGACCCCCTGGAATTTTTAAGAACTGAAACCCCATGGCAAACCTGACTACGCATCTGTTCTGAATTGGAGATCCTTCTTTGATCAAGTATTCTTTTATACATTATTCGAAAAATGCCAATATTTAAGTACAGTAATATCTCATGTGTGTGTATATTTTTACTAACTTTAATCCTTCGTCTATATATTCTAGACACTATCGCAGCTGAAAAACGTGAGCTACGTGAAGAGATCACTAAGGTAAAGGAGGCTCATGTATCCCAGGTAACCACACTACAACAGGAGCATAAACAAGCATTACACAGCCTTGAGGAACGACTAAAGTTGGAAAAAGAGCAGGAATTAGAAAAAGGTAAGTGTGAATGCATTGGTTCCATTTTTGAAGTTTTTAGTGAAATAGATCCAAAAAATGATTTTCAAATTGAATTTCTTAATGCCTTTTGAAGTTTGATTAATAGTTTGATTAATATGAAAATCGTCATTTATTCATTTTCTCCAAAATTGCCTTTTCCTTTACTTCTTTGATTTTCAAAAAGTATATATTTTTATTTGTAGTGATAGAGCAACATTCATTAGAAGTGAAGACATTGAAACAGTACCACGAGAGAAATGTAAGTATGATGAGACTTTTTTGTCCAACCAATACCTAGAACTACATATGTACAGTACATGTACTCTTATACAAATATTTTGTACATGTGAATAAGTACACTGTACATGTAAATAAGTGAACTGTACATGTTAATGAACAAGTGAACCGTATTGTGAATAAGTAAAATGTACATGAATAAGCTTAACATTCCAGGTGCACAAGTTGTCAGCGGATCATGATAAAGCAGTTGCAGACCTTCATAAACAACATGCATTTGATATAGAAAATATGAAACATATGCATAACCTATGTACAGTATTAACATTCTAGGTGCACAAGTTGTCAGCCGATCATGATAAAGCAGTTGCAGACCTCCATAAACAACATGCATTTGATATAGAAAATATGAAACATATGCATAACCTATGTATTAACATTCTAGGTGCACAAGTTGTCAGCGGATCATGATAAAGCAGTTGAAGACCTCCATAAACAACATGCATCTGATATAGAAAATATGAAACATAAACAAGAAAAACAAATTGCAGGTAGGTTGATCCTTATACTATTTATTCATATAAAGATTCATATAATACCTCATGCATGCACAATGGGTCAAACGACCTCCAGTTGGTTGTATCATCATCATTAACCTTTTAATGTCAAATAGTGCTTCAAAGCAATTTATACCCCCCTTGACATAACAGACATTCTGATAATTCTCACATATCTTCAAATCACCAAATGGTTTCTCGTATTATATACATGTGAGATACTGGCAACCAAAATCCCAGAATGCTTTAATGAAATCGATTATCTCTGAGGGTTTTATTTATTTAGCATCATCAGCTCGGTATTAATTTATGAATACAGGGCTGTCTGAGGTTTCATAGCTTTACTTTTTGCTAGACAAAAAAGATGGCATTACAGGTACCATAGTATTTCTTGCGTGGGAGAGCACGAAAAGCAACCACAGTAAAACAAAAACAATTATAATTTATAAACAAGGAAAGATTCTATAAAATAATTATGTAAAAAATAAAATGTTGAATATAAAAACAGACTAATTACTGTATACAATGTAGTTTGGTATTAATAAATGTTAAAAAGTTAATCAAAGTTAAAAGACCATTAATAGTTAAAAGACTTAGTTTTGGAAATCTAGTGATATCATTTATCATACATTAAATGATATAATTGTCTCCTTTATCCTGGAGTTTTTCTTGCTATGTTTTCTAATAATCTATCTTATTGTCTATCGCCTTTTTAGCACTTGTACTTAGATATCTATATAAGTAGATGTCTATAAATACATGGAGAGGCACTTTATGATGGTTGTTGATATTACACACTGCCCCCAGGATTCCGTGTTTGCAGAGCGCGGACGGAATTTGCCTCTGCCCGCGGAATTGCAGAATCAACTATTTTGGTCAATTTCCGCGGAATTTTCCGCAGAATCCATATATTTTCCAAAAGTTTAAAAAGTCAGTCTTACCTGTAACAATCTGACACGTTTTCAGTCAAATCCCTTGCAGAAATAACCCAAATTATGCGAAGTGAAAATTCTAAACGCCATCGTTTGATTTCTGCCGTTAGATGGCAGCATGTATGTAGTGACTGACTACCTGACTATCACGATATTTTCCCGTTTACTGGTTCGAAAACCATTCGTTTTTCTTTCGGTTCTCGTCAGAATATCCGCGGAATTTCTGCAGAATTAGCCCTTTCTTCTTGCAGAATTCACTAATTTCACTTGCAGAATTGAGCATTTTAACTTGCAGAAAACTGGGGGGAGTGATTACATTACAAGGTCAACATGGTTGCTTATCATGTAATAATATATTAGGCTATACGGAATTATTGTTTCTCTGAGAGACTATTTGATTGTTTAACTTTATACATGTACTACTTGTATATTCTCTTTGTTATGTAACATTATACATTCAGTCTTTGATTCTGCACATGTAGCAAGCCTGTAGCCCCCTCCCCCAGCCAAATTTCTTTCAAAATCGTGATTTTGGCCTTTTTGGGGCCAAAGTTTTCTAATGCGATCCCCCTGGAATTTCTAAATTCACATTTAACATTCTCTGCAGCATTTGCATACATGTTATACCTAATACAGATAAGTTTAGGTAAAATTAAGACAGTATACAATTATTGACCTCTCCAGAGGTTTGCTGTCAAAATTATATCCCGAGACTGTAAACCGAGACTGTAGGTCGAGGTTTACCCTCGAGGGATATAATTTTGACAGTAAACCGAATGTAGAGGTCTATAATTGTTTTGTTAGTCCGAAGAATATCTTAAAAATGACCCTTGAAGTTGACTTAAAGTTGGATCCAGACCCTCAAGACGTTCATGTTGTATTTCAGTATATCGGCAGTAAGTTCACTCAATGGAGTCAAATTAATCTCCTGAGCGAAGTCCACTAAAAGCTTTGTACAAAGTTTTAGATTTTTCTTCGTATTTTGACTGTCTTTACTCTCTAAGAGACTAATAATATCCTCATTTTCAACATTTTTGAAACGGCTAGTGCTAGCGGCGGCCATTTTATCGTCTGATAATCACGTCATTTTAGTGGAATGCTGGGAATATTATTCACCGGCAATGCATTGCGCGGTGTACAGTTAAAATTATTCACCGCTCGTTGACCAATCAAAATCGAGTATTTCAACTGAGGTACTAACAATATCATATGTCAAAATAATATTGTTGCCTCAAAATGTTTTATATTTTTCCCAGAAATCTATATTTGTGAGGTGCTCATGTACGAATAAAAGAAACACATATTTTACAGTTGATCAGTTGCTATTTGGGACAACTCCTCTCTTACCCCCCCCCCCTCCTCCTTCCCCTCATTTACATGTCCCTCTTGGAGCAACTTTTGAATATGTTTCTATGCCTCCATAAAATAACACCCAGGGAACAGGCCTGAAATGTACGTAGTATACACGTACATCAAATATTTGCAATGTTAGAATAAATTCAAAAAGTTTTGCATACACTTAAAGGTTCACATCTTTGATCTCATCCTAAAACTCACATCTCTTATCTCTTAATCCTTGTAGAGACCAAATAATTTTATTTGCCTATCATTCCTATCTTTGTTTAAACTAGGATGGTGTTGGTTAAAGTAGATTTTTTGCAATAAAAACATTAGATTGTTTGCCAAGTGAATGTCATATCTACTGCATAGGACTGCCGATGAACTTAGATGTTTTGATTTGAAAATAAAATTATCATTCCAGTCATTGTTATAGTGTTGACCTGCCAGCAATTTCAAATTATTTTTGACTTCAATAAATAAATGTCAAACCTTTGTCTATGGTACAAATAAAAAATTGAGCCTACAAACTTCAATTAAAGTATGAGGTTAGAGCGAGGGGCAATTTCGAGTTAAAGGCTCAATTCCTCCCTTTCCATGATTTTTACAAAACTCCCCTTTTTCAAAAATAGCGAAATGCTTTCTATTTTTTTTAAGTTTGTTTCATGAATGTCGATTATGAGCCTTTAAATCTAGACTTGTTGAAGTGGACCTTACAAGAAGGTTCCATGTCTATAACATCTGGTAGATATGTTAAAAATGAGCCTTTAAGTTTGGTAGATTTATTGAGATTTGTTGAGGATGATACTTTAAGAGGTTCAATGTCTGACACATCTGGTAGAAATGTTTCATATGAGCCTTTAAATCTGGCAGACTTGTTGAGGGTGACCCTTTAAGAGGTATATTGTCTGACACTGTGACACATCTGATAGAAATGTTTCATATGAGCCTTTAAATCTGGCAACCTTGTTGAGGGTGACCCTTTAAGAGGTATATTGTCAGACACTGTGACATTTCTGATAGAAATGTTTCATATGAGCCTTTAAATCTGGCAGACTTGTTGAGGGTGACCCTTTAAGAGGTATATTGTCTGACACTGTGACACATCTGATAGAAATGTTTCATATGAGCCTTTAAATCTGGCAACCTTGTTGAGGGTGACCCTTTAAGAGGTATATTGTCTGACACTGTGACATTTCTGATAGAAATGTTTCATATGAGCCTTTAAATCTGGCAACCTTGTTGAGGGTGACCCTTTAAGAGGTATATTGTCAGACACTGTGACACATCTGATAGAAATGTTTCATATGAGCCTTTAAATCTGGCAGACTTGTTGAGGATGACCCTTTAAGAGGTACAATGTCTGATACACCTGGCAGAAGTGTTACAGATGAGTCAGTTAGAGATAATAATTGGCAGGTCATCATGACCTCAGTGTGATCTTAATTCAAATATTCTGCCAGCTACAAACTCGATTGCATTGACTATTTTGGACTGACGGCTATAACTTAATTTAAGTCATATATCAAGGTTGTGCTCCACTGAAAGGTTTATGAATTTTAAAAAGCAAAAAGTTTTAAATGAAAGGGCACACATTTGAGGATTATTTGTTAGGAGCTGCTACTGCATGCAAGTTATAACATGCAAGTTACAAATAGAAGGCCTAGTTTTCACCTTACCGGTTCACCTGTAGTATAGTATATATAGTTCTCTTTGAACAGGCATTGAATCAGATTCACATGTGTTATAGTTATCCTAAATCGGATAAGGAAATCTCTGTTACAAAGATAGGAGAGGAGATACAACACAGATTAACGCAAATTCATTTTTCTTAAAGGAGCTAAAACATAAACTTTGAAAATATCAAAAAGTGAGTTTTATGGAACATTAGAGAGTTTTAATTTGTGAATTCGATTTTGATATAAAAGTGTTGGAAATTTGACTCAGAAGATACACAACATTCTTCTTAAAGGAGCTAAAAACATCAGCATTGAAAGTATCAAAGTTGAGTTGTGTAGAAAATTGGAGAGTTATATTTCGTGAGTTTGATTTTGATAAAATGTGACTCATGTGATAAAAATTACAAGGAAAAGCATGTTATGGGTGTCTAGCATGCAAACAGCACTGGTCGGAAGGAGCAAATACATGTTAAATGTGCAGCCAAGTGTAGAGTAATGGAGAATAGCCAAGATCTCCCATGTAAACAATTGAATAATTAAACACCTTGTACTGGGCCCAAGGGACCAGGAAATCTGGACCAGAATATCTAGGATTAATTATAGTGCGCCTGATGAAGCATCATTCATTCACTGGAATATAAAGGTGAAAAGGTGATCAGAATCATCCATTTTGGAATATAAGTGGATTCTTTAAGTGACAAGCCTTATCTGTTACTAACTTTTAGTATTGTTAGTCATTGGTCGTATAGATTCAGGTAAAATCACAGTGTTGTAAAGTTTGTACCCCATATTGAGGTGAGAATTGGTGAGAAAGAATTACAAACTAAGTAAGCAAAAAAGTTAAAATCTGGAAAAAGACTGGAACATTTTGATTAACTACTTATAAGGATGTAATTATTGGTGATTATTGTTATCCTAATGCAGAGATTTGATGACTGGTAGTGGTAGACTATTATAAAACTAAGATGCTAACACTACAACACTAAGATGGTAACATTATAACACTAAGATGGTAACACTATAACACTAAGACGGTAACATTATAACACTAAGATGGTAACACTACAACACTTAGATGGTAACATAATAACACTAAGATGGTAACACTACAACACTAAGATGATAACATTATAACACTAAGATGGTAACATTATAGCTCTATGGTAAAATGAAATGTAAAACATGCATAGCAGGACTCCTAAGGATTAACACATTCCGTTATCTCGGTGTGCTGGAAATACCAATTTAAAGGTACAAGGCATGCTCACTTAAATACCTGAAGGATTAGAATACATTGGATTATTTTGATTTTGGGAAATATGTGTAACCTTATATGCAGTATTATGATTTGGATTTGGAAATAACACAGCTTTTGTAATAGGCTGAGGTTAAAATGCTTTTAGTTTTGATGATATAACTGGATATAAATATGAAAGGCCTATGGATATGTCCATATAAATAAGGATACATTTGAAACTGACAGTATCAAGGTTTCTACAGATAATTTGAACTCTCAAAAATAAAGGTGTATGTATTTGTACAAGTGATGGGTTCGTGAAAAATTAAATCAAAGTTTTGAATGAGGAATACCTTGACAGGATTAAAAATTTGAAAATTCAAAGTTGACATTTACAAAGTAGATAAACACAAAGTTAGTCAAAGTAATATGAAAAGGGTGATAATTTTATAGAAAAAAATTCTCAGAATGAAAATGAAGATACAAGACTGATTTAAAACAAAATTAGCCAAAGTATCAGCTGAAAAATGAAACAGTTCAACAAAATGACTAAGCCAGACAATTATTTGCCACAAGCATTCAAGAATGTCAAGTGTTACCATAGTAACAGAAAATAAATATATTGATACTTGAAGTATCTTGGAATGTCAACTGCATTGGTGACCTAGCGGAATGTCAAATCCAAATGCATAATCAAAATATCAAACAAAATGACAGGTCAGAAACAATACCAAGTTCAGCTATGTAACCAAGGAGTGCAATATATTGTATAGAGCAATTTGGGATAGAAACAACAATATAAAGGCCAAAAAGTACAATCATTTGAAACTATGATCAAGGAGTGCAATATTACGAACAATCTGAGAAAAAATAAATAAATGTTACACTTACATGGTCAAAAAGTGCAAGTTATAAGTGTAGTTCTTCGAACAATTTAAGATAAGAAAGACAATAAAATTACACTTATATGGTCAAAGGTACAATTCATTGAATAAACGGAGTCAGGAAGGAGACACTAATATGGTCAAGAAGTCAAGTACTTTGAACAAACTGAGTTAAAAAGAAGACAATAAAATAAATTAATATGGTCAAGAAGTACGATGATGACATGATGCCACGAAGAAAGTGCTTCACAGATATTGTGCAATTTTATAGAAAAGGTATTGTTTTATTCGGGAGGTACATGTATTTAGAATAATTTGCTACTCTATCACACTTTCACTATTTATGGTACTATTTCTCTACATTGTTTAAAGGGACTAATCATTTCACTTTGTAGTAATATTCCTTTCACTGTTAAAGGGACTTGTTTGATCAATTAGAGGGAGTTAGAATAGGATTTATAGAGTTCTTTCTTTCTTAAACAAAAAAATCTCAATTTTCCACAATTTTTTTTCATTATAGATCTAAAAATGGACCTCAATTTTTCTACAAAAGTGATTTTGTTTTTGCCCTCTTCTTTTCAATTTCGAAGTCCATTATGGAAAAATGCCTAAACTAGGCAAGACCACAGAGGAGATCTGTGTACAGGCAGAGCTTTCTCCCAGTAGTGCATATACAGTAGAGGTGTCATGGTTCAAAAACATATTGGAACAGAATGTTACAAATGGTCTTGGGACACAGAACTATGGGATGCCATACTGATAATGCACTTGATTTGCATACAATGAAATATGGTGCAATATCTGGAAACCGTGACACCTCTAATATACAGGGTGAGCCAAAAAAGGTATCCCAAACAAATCTTAATAACTCAGTCATCCTGCTTGTCCAATGTATTGTCAACCAAGTTATAGGGGTCTATCTCTAGTGGCCACGATTTTATGAAAGAACATTGAGCAAGGTTTAAATGTCCCAAATATGATTTTAAACCCATGCTAAATGACTGAGTTATTAACATACATTTGTTTGGGTTACCCTTTTTGGCTCACCCTGTACAATGGCTTAGAATTTCTAGCTTGAATTATCTCTGCTAAGAGAACAAGATCCTATGATAAATTATTCAACAGCTAATCTTAATGAGTCAATGGAAATAGATCCATGAGTCTATAGACCTCGATTTTAATTTTAACCCCCTGAGAATATTCTATTTCATTAAACAAGTTGTTAAAGGGACTTTTTACATAAAAAACGATTTCTCGTTAATATACTTTGCTGTACAAGATCACATTTTTGTGAATATTTTTGAATCTATTTTTAAATGTATTTGAATTTTGCCAAGTATATGCTAAGCCCAGAGGGTCCTTATTTTAAACAATTTTTCAAATCTGCATTTAGCTGGTTCATCCTAGATATTAGGGGTGGGACGGATAACCGAAATACCGAAAAACCGCGGTTCATAGCCTTCGGATCGGTTTTCGGATCACGGCCCTACTTTCGGATCAGCTTTTCAGATCGTTTTCGGATTAATATTTCATTGGTCAAGTATCAATAAAACAGTTACAAACACTGTTTTACAGCAACATTTTTGATATTCCTAGTCCCTACCTTGTCTGTCTTGTCTGTTGCTAGCTCACTCGTTTACTAGATTCGTTTCGTATCTGCGTATTCGTATCCCTCGGTAATCAATCATGTGGTCCCTGGTACTATATTCTTTAGTCGTGTACAAGCATAAATTAGTTATTTTATTGGTTGTATTAAAAGAAAGTGACAAAGAGCAGTGAAGTCAGAGACAAAGCAGCTAATCATGTCAATCAATACAAATCCTTAAAATGAATGAACCGAACCGAAAAAAACCGAACCGACGGCTGATGATCCGAAAAACCGAACCAAACCGAAACGAACCGTCCCATCCCTACTAGATATAGAAGGGCCTTTAACTGTAGGTAGGGATTAGAGGTTGAAACATAACATGAAATAATCATTGTTTAAAGCCTCTTGTTTCAACTAAAGTGTTGAATCCTTTGTCTTTATAAGTAATTAAGAATGACTTCCTTAAAGGATCCTATTTGATGTACAAGATATTTTTCAATAAATTTCAAATGCATTGTATAATTGTGAGAAATCCTTTATTTTAGAGTTGCATGTATGAGGAATACTAAGTTGTGTCATATCTCTTTATACTTACAGAACTACAGACATTTCACGAATGTAAGCTCAGAGATATCACTAACAGATTTGAAGATATTAAAGTCTCTTTACTGGTAAGTATTTACTCTCAACAACTTTTTTACAATGTCTACATGTATTTACATATGACTTGTTTGACTGAAATAAAAAAAAACTATATATTGGCTAAACTGATGATGTCATTGGATGTAACGCAAAAACAAGATTAACTATCATTAATTTTAAAAAATAAATCCAACGATATCATCAGGCTAGCCAATATATCAAAGTATATATCAAAAGGCAACAGGATCGGAATGATCTATTTTAAAGTACTTCTATTAAGCTTTTGTACCCTACTTCAGTAGAACTTGTCTAAGTGGAATGTCTTTAATGCAACTATAGTGTTCCACTTGGAGGTTGTTCTGTATAACATTGAGACAGTGGATCTTGGGACTATAAAGTGTTCCACTTGTAGAGGTGTTCCACTTATATAGGCATTTCACTTACAGAGATGTTCCACTTTACAGATTTTTCTATAATCTATATTCTTAACACACCTGTCTGATTCTGACCCAAAATAGATCTTCCAGAAAAAGAGTGATATAATTCAAGACAAACGCATATTCTAATTTCTTTATTCCTTCATCCAGGAAAAAGTGGAAGTGTTACGCATAGACTGCGACCAATCACGAGCCAGGGTCCTTGAATGCCAGGAGGCATTTGAACGTGACAGTGATGCGAAGATTAAAGTTGCACTTGCTCCTTACAAACATCTCCCCCAGGAGATTGAGAGCTTAAAGGCTGTGCTAGATATGAGAAATCAGGAGATACATAATCTAAGGTCCAAACAGATGGAGTTGGAGAAAAAGGTGAGGCTTTAAGAATTAGTGACATATTGTTAAAGTTGCCAACTTTTTGTGGATGGTGTTCGGTGATTAGTGTTTGGCGTCTGTAAGTTAAAAGGCAGGCAGGAATGGCGTAGCATAGCACTCTCTTGTGTTTAATCAAAGAAAAGTTCGGCGTCTGTTACAACATTCATCGGTCGGCATCTTTAACAAATGGCAGGTTGTGACATTTTGCATGTTAAAGGAACATTCCTGGCCAAACCTTTTCTATCCTGATGTGATAGCTATAATCATATATATACTTTCCATATTTAGCAAAACATGGGGAAATGTTTTAATATAGTCACTATTGATAATTTAAAAATGTAGTGCTTATTTCCAGTAAGCTGCCATCTTTTAAGATTTTACTCAGGAAGTGATGTCATCGACTCTCAACTTTCATGACCTTGCATATAACAGTATAGGAAAATAGCACAATATCACTTCTAGACGAGTGATCCTTACTTTATGCGCAAAAATATATTCAGAGCTTGTCAGCTTAGAATAAAAGAAGAGACTTTTAGAAGGATTAAATCATAGACAAAATTGAAAAAAGAATATTCAGTTGGTTTTGTAATTCTTAATAGCTCCTTATAGTGTTATATGCAAAGTTGAGAGTCAATGACATCACTTCCTGAGTGAAATATTAAAAGATGGCAGCCTACTGGAATTCGGCACTACATTTTCAAATGATCAATATTGACCATATCAAAACATTTTTCCCTGTTTTGCTAAATATGGAAAGTATATATATGTATGGTTATAGCTACAATATTAGGAGAGAAATGGTCTGGCCAGGAATATTCCTTTAATGTCTTGTTTAACTGTTTTGTGAAAGTGCTGAACTACCTTATTGATGTATAACTGGTTTGTTTCAGTCTGAAGAGCTACTACTTGAACAGGAGAAGGTCAGGAACTTGAAACAGAAGAACGAAAACCTGGAGGCCATCTTGAATATACGACAAGAAAATGAAAAGTAAGAATTTCAATCTTTATTTTATGACAAGAAAGTGAAAAATACGAATTTCAGTCGACAAAAAAATGATTAGTATGAATTTTAGTCTTTTCATGTTTTATGACAAGAAAATGAAAAGTAAGAATTTTTTCTTTTGTTTTAAATTTTTAGTGGTCTTACCTAGAATTTGAACTCGAATATGATCTAAATTTACTGCTTATCTAATCTGAGTGCAGTTTATATTTAGTTGGAAACCGGGTGATAATTGATTTTCAACTGGATGCAGAAATATTTTAAGCTGATTATAAATAGATGTAGAGAAGGGTGCAAATGTATTTCCAACTGCAAAGGTTTTCAAAGTTGCTAAATTGTTTTTTAAAGTGATTCATAAATGGATTTTCTGCTCAGAGAAAGGTCAATAACAATCAAATATATTCACATGTTTATTAGTCGCAATTTCCAATGGAATAAATTTTAATGAACTAGATACAAATATTCAAATTGAACATTTCTGTAACTTTATTTCATTTCCAGGCAATTGTCCGACAAGCATCAAGTTTTACTACGAAAATATGACAGAGAGGCAAAAGAGAAAAAACGCCTCTCGATGAACAATGAAGAACTGATGTGGCGATTGGAAACGAGTAGTTCGCCAACAGGAAGTGAATGTGGATCTCCAGACATTATACGACGTGATAAAACACTCTCGCCAAATCCTAACCGAAGTAGTCGACCTATTTCTGGTGACTTTTCTGGAATGGCTGTCCCACCGCGATCTCCGACTCAGAAAATTATGAGGTCAAATACATTTGTTCTTGGCGAATGTGAGTCAAAGAAAAAGAACCCAAACAATAACAATGGGACTTGATAGATGATGAAACTTTTGTAGAAGTTAGTATAATTCCAGGGATACAGGCTCCATCGAGTTAACTGGTGAATTCTGGGATACATCAACCTCTTGTACTAGTAACCAGTGAATTCTGGGATGTATACTCTCAGGTTCAATGTGATCATGAATTGAATTGCATTATTGGATGTATCTCCCTCCTGTGGTAATCATTTATAATGGTGCATTGTGGGAAGGCCAGAGTGGGTTCAGCTATCCCACAAGTATTTGACCCATCAAATTTAGATTTTTCAAGATATGGAAATACAAAATTCAAATGTGCCACAATATTTTGCCTGTATCAAAATGGTAATATTGGCAAAACACTTGAATGATATGATTTTTAGGAGCTACCCATTACCAACAAGTTGCAATCTATAATGTGTTCTTTAACCAGTCTGATCTCAATACACAAATATTTATAAATTGTTGTTTTCATGTTCCATCTGTGATTGTTTGATGAAATGTTATTAAGTTAAGTTAAACTTGTTTTATTTTTATGTTACATCCTTTGGAAAAAAGTCATGTGATCAAATCTACATTTTTAATCAGAAAATGATTTGTGATCAACAAAATGTGAAGCTCATCACTCATCAGTGAAATAGCATCTTTGTTTATTTGTCAAATGACCAAGAAATTTGGAATAATCGTGTACAGTAAAACCTGTTTAAGGGAACTGGTTGGGCCAGCACTTTGTGTTCATATTGAAGTGTTCACATTGAGATGTGTCCACATTGAAAAGTGTTTGCATTGACATGGAAAGGTGTTCACATTGAGAAGTGTTCACATTAATGTGTTCGCATTCACATTGATGTGCTCACATTTAGAGGTGTTCACATTGAGAAGTGTTCACATTCACATTGATGTGCTCACCTTGAGAGGTGCTGACATTTAGATAAGTTCACATTGAGAGGTGTTCACATTTTTAATGCAACATCCAAAAAATGACATTGAAAACAAGTGTTCACATTTTGAATGTTTGCCCTTGACCATCATTCACATACACACGTTTTACTGTACATGTATTTTCATATTTTATGTATATTATCACTGTACCAATGACCAACTCAGAGAATACACGGTGAATTAGTATTTATGTTTGTATGAACCTGGGGTTCTGTTTTAACCAGTCATAGCTTAGGATTCCACCACATTTTTGAGAGTCTACAGTTATGACTGTTGTAAAAACAGAACCCTGTTTCACTTGTTCAATTTTGAAATAATTTGAGAAACTTTTGAAATAAGTTTACAATATAAGGTCCAATCAACTTACAGTGTAAATATTAATATATATGAATTCTTATACAATCAGGTGTAATATGTATATGTTGGTATGTGTATAAATGCTTTAATGAATTCATTCAGATTGATTTAACAAAATGAATCAATTTTGCAATACTTTATTTATTTATTTGTATTAATGCAGCTTTAGAGTTAATTACAAAATGACAAAATTTTGTTTATATTATTCAAATCAAAGTATATATGGATTAATAGATATGAAAATGTAAACATATGATGATTGAAATGATAATATTTCACCATTGAATTTGCATAATGGTCATTTTTTCTGAGTTTATGATATCAAATGTGAAAAATTGAGTTCAGCCATTATCCATTTTTATGTCACCACCAAAAGGGTTGACATATTTTTACAGTCTCCAATTTTTAATTTTTTTTGTGGCTGATGTTCGGTGATTGGTTTTTGGTAGTCGATGTATGTAACAGCATTCGGCCATGGACATTTGTAACAAATGGCAGGTGGTGACATTTTGCATGTTAATGCCTTGTTATTAAATGAATTCAATTATGGCGCATCAATGATATTGAAAAGAGTATGGTGAATTGTTATAGTTTTACTCAAATGCAGGTTTTGTTTTTCTTTGGTGCAATATGCATAAAACAATCATGACTTGTATTCCCTGCCTGCATATCACATTGTCACAAGAATTTGTTCTATCTCAAATGCTCCAACATATTTTGCCCAGAATAGTAGGCCTGTATCCCCTTCTGGCCAAAAATTCTTTTTGAGGGATTTTGCGCCAAAATTGTCAAATGTGACAATGCTGGCTTCGGGCCTCAACAATGACATATTTTGGTTACTCTGGAGCAATGTTTTGGAATGATTGTAACTTACAATATTTGGAATACCAGCATTACACTGAAGAAACAGAACAACGAAATCTTAAGTTACGATCATTTCAAAAACAGTGTGTGTTGGAACATTGATTAAACACCTTTGGCATTGATAGAGCATGTTTTTGATATAACATCATGATATACTGGCAAGAGGGAAAATCCTAGGGTTCAGAGATGTAACAAATGAAGGTTTTTATATCTGTCATCTCTAAGCTCTGGGGTTTTCCCTCCTCTTGGCAGAATAGAAGTCTTGCTACATATCCGAGTGCATGGTCATGTATTTTGTTGAAATAAGTTAAGATTTACTTTTTTCGTGATATATTTTTGAAGATATCCAGGTATTTATTAACCTGTAAAAATTTAGAAACAAATCGTGTGTCGTAAATCTAACATTTTGTGCTGGGTACATAATCATATAGAAGTGGACTGCTTTGTATGATGTACAATTGTATTGGTGTGTAAGATTAAATAAAGGTGGCTCTGCATACTATAATTTAAATGATGTCTTGTCTTACTGGCTTTGAGGAAAAAGGACTGATAGCGTCAGATTTAAAGCCCCGCGTGTAATATCAAGGTCCCAGTCATTTATTTAATAGACACATCTATAATTTATGGATTATGATCATCTTCAAGCTTGTGTCATTTTCAGCCAAAATAATAGGAAGATATCAGAACCCTCTATTGTAAAAAAATGCAAAAACTCTATACCTCTATTTTGCTATTTTGGTCATATACTAATTGAAATGTCAGAGCCCTATTAGACATTGCACAAGATTTCCCTGCTCCCCCTAATACAGTAAATGAACCAATCATATCCCTAGATCCATGGACATCGGACATGAAGAAATGAAAAAGTGGGAGAACAAACGTTAGACCAGTACTAGACCGGGATACTTGTTGATAGATGGCAGCAGTGCTAGCAATCTGTTTTTACTGTTTAGTTTTCTATGCATTGAAAAGATGTCACTGTCATGCAGTATGTATTTTGTATTGTATCATTGAATCCAGGTTTTGTATTTCAACAAAATATACTTTGGGAAGTTTATAAAATACTTCAACAGATACTACATAAAACTTATCTGACTGAATCATATAGTGAGTGAGAGGGGGATTTGGCATAGTTTGTAATATATGGGGTACAATTTATGGAAATATATATCAGGAAATATAAAAATAAGGATAATTAGAGCCCTAAAATAAAGGGATTTTAAAGATAAGGAGGTAAACCACCCCTGCTATCAATATGAATAGCAAAAAGGGCAATGTTTAATACATTTGAGTTATCACAAGATGAACACAACAAACTGAGAATACAGTTCTTTGAGACTTTATTTAAAACAATTGTTTACATGACAAATTCGCAAAAGCTTACATTTTAAAGTATATGCACAGAGTAATGTAAAGGAATTAGAAGGAATTAGAGTGTGAAATTTAGGAAGCTCCCATTTCAAGAATCATGGCAAATGTTTCCATGTTTCAATCTTTTCCTGGCAATATTTTCTGAAATGGAACTGAGATAGTGTTCAAATATATAAGTTGAAAAGTTAAGGTGCAGAAATGTCCAAATTCATTAGAATTGAAAAAGTGTCCCATTTAATATTTTTATTTATTTTAATTTAAATTACCTTAAAAAGATGGATTTTCCTGAAATAATGTCAGAACCGTTGGTCTTTTTAGAAAAATGCATAACATGGAATGATAAGAGCAAATGACACAATTTTTTAGAAAATGTACTCCATTTCGTCTCTATCCCTTTCTCCTTTAACACTGAAATAATTTCTTTAATAACAGTATATTTTGAAGTACTTCATATAAATAAAATGTCTACATCATAATTTCTTCTCTTCATAATATAAATAAAGTGTATTCTAAATTTAAGAGAATATCTATTCAGTATCTTGAAATTCAAAACTTAGGATTTGAAACTATACCATGTGTGCATATACATAGACAATTTTTACATGACAACTTTTTACATCATTTTACATTATAAACATTCAGACATAAATGCGATGTACATTGAATAGAATATCTGTACAAAGCGTAAGACAAAAGCTCTGCTTTTATAATTATATACAAGAACATTGCACTTTACTTTAAAACACATAAATACAAGGAGTGATCCAAAAGAAATGGCCATCCATTTATATTTGAATCATCCCTCGTATAAATCTTCCCTCCATTTTCATATCACATATCATCAGATCTTATTTCATGCTCATACAATTAAACATGTTTAAGTGAACACCTCTCTATAGTTAACAAACACCTGTGTTTTGTGAACACCACTTCAAGACACCTTTTACATTGTACAAAATCCCTTTCTCTAATGAACACCTGTATCTAGCAGACACCCCTTCTCAGCATATACTCTACTGATTTCTGTATAAAACTGCCTCTCTGTAGTGAACATCTACACACAGTGAACACTATTTTGTGGCTTGATAGGTGTTCACTGAACACAGGTTATACTGGGGTCCGTTTTTGAAACCATCGTAACTTACGATTTGGTCGCAAGTCATTGCTCATCAAAACAGAGACAAATGGTTTTCTCGGAATCGTAAGTTACGATCGTACGAAAAACGAACCCCTGTATATTATACTTGGCATTATTATCTCAATGATTCTCACTGATCTTTATTAAACAACAACTTCATTTTCAACCCAAAAGGGAGAGGGGCAGACAGAAATTGGAATATAACAACCCTCGTCATACCCCACCTCCTTTTATGGAAAAAATGAGAAATAACATCTACAGACAATGTACTTCTATTATTAATTGACAACCGCTATATATTTTCACAAATGGCACATTTAATATGACTTATCACTTTAACTCTAGCCTGTACACAACAAAGTGAAATATTCAAATATCAATATTTACATTTATAATGTCTTGTACAATGTACTTACGTACATTCAACCGTTTTACTTACATGAACATTTTATTACTTGGCTCCTTAAAGTACATTATCAATCAATTTACAGTAAATTATCAATCAATTTACGAGACGGATATATACATCAAATATGTACATCAAATAATTGTAAATCCAACATCTAACACTGCATCAATACCACTGGTATTTTGAATATCTAATATGACTCATACATCTAATACCTCACATTCATGACTGCTGAAGTCATCTAAAAGTCAAAGGATGAAAATTTTCCAGATCTTGAAAATGTGGGTTTTGATGCTCTGATAAACCCTGAATGAAACCTCTGTAAGAGGAAAACCTCAAAAAAGTGTTCCACTCTGGAAGTGTTCCACTTACAGAGGCTCATAAAAATTGTCTTTTGAAACACATTTGTTTGTTTATTTGTTTGTTTGTCTGATTTTGAGGTATATGCATTGTCTCTTGTCTTCTTATAGAAAATCTGTTACATTCCCATACCTGTTTCTTACTAAAATTTGAATGAAATGCCTGTATTTCTGGCATTTCTCTATAATTTAGAACAATTAATTGACTAGATGTCCAATTTCTCCATTCCTTGCTGATTCCACTCTTAAGTCCATTTCAAAAACATGACTCATGTCTTATTGTTACTCAGAGTCTCACTGGAGATATCGATACATTTTGAAGCAGTGGTTCCCCGAATCCGACACAACAATGTTTCCATTCTCCAGCAGCGCCAGGCCCTGAGGACCATATAAGGGATCAGCGTGGGTGTTTATGTAGGACAAGAAAGACCCCTGGCTGTCAAAAACCTGAAAGACACAACATATTGAATATTATAATAGGTTATTCAATGAAATACAGAAAATATTCAAAGAAATTATGTATTTCACATCCCTGATGTACATATGTAATTTAGAATTCATGAGAAATACTCTTAAACGTCAAAGTGATGCCAGGGTGTAGGTCAGATTCTGTATCATATGGTATAAAAATACAGGCACCCGGACCAATCAAATCGTAAGAAATTTCACTATCATTATATAAATGTGATGGTCACGTTTGATCACGTTCAGTCGGGACTAGAAGAAACACAACAGTGTTTTTCTACAAGCAACCAAATAAATTCTCTAGCATTAATTAAAAGAAGTTACTGTAATAATTCTAAAAAGAATTACAAGAAATTCAATTCATTCATTCAATTCATTCATTTAATGTTTAGTAAACATATCAATCAAATGTGTGCACTCAATTCATTTGCTTATTTCACAGACATATAAATAAATAAAATATCGCAGGAGGTCCGCCTAGCATAGTCCCACATATGTAGATTCTCAAACCTGATAACCTTTTTCGGTACGATATTAAATGATGTTTGTTAGATAGCATAAAATTAATTCTTATTTCGTCACATCTTTTAAGTTCTATGATATACGTTCTTGCAGTAGACTGTTTTATTGGTGTTCCTTTATAAAAGTTCATATATGATATAAGTTAAAGTCAATTCGGATTTATTATTTAAAAGATAATGTGGAAATAAATAGAATAAATAAATGAAATAATGAATCTTTGAAAATAAAAACATTTATTTTGATGACACGAAAATGTTTATGAAAAGGACATCAATTTTATTTCGACTCTAACCCGGTTGCCACGACAATAAAAAATTGTTTTTCAAACTATCATGAGAAAAACAAATCGTCATCATAAGAGTTTAATCCAAAGTCATGAAAAGGCGTGGGAATTTTTGAAATAATCGTTTAAATGATTAAATTTTATCACATGTTCGTGTTTGCGGTACTTTTACAGAAGGATGTCTTACAACATGTCCGATGTAATTATACCATGTTGCTATGATAAAATCGCTATATTAAGATTTTTTCAATCTGAGCAAATATTGTTTAAAGTTGTACAAAGTGGAACATTGTTTGAGGATGTGTCTTAAAAAGGGTGTTATTAATTGATGCCTAGATTTCACCTGGGATAAATCTCTGCAAATCACGCAGATTAGATTTTTCTCAGATAACTATGGATACCTCTGTAAAAATGTGATCAGAATTTGTTAAAGTATTTTGACAAATGTGACTTGAGTACTGAAAAAATGTTCAAGTTAAAACACTATTTCATTAACTCTAGCCTCATGGCATTTTTGTAAGGATTTACCTTTTTTAAAAAATGATACTAAATACTAATTTCACTAGATTTAGCCAAAATATCTCAACATTTCATCATATTGACAATATGTGGCACCTAAATGCTGTAATACAGGACAGTTCACTATTCATATTATAATTACAAACAAGGTATTAACATGCAAACTGTCACCACCTGCTATTTGTTACAGACACCAAACTCTGAACACTGAACAGATAGCAACTGATGTCAAACACCTCACAAATGGGAATCAAATACTCTGGGTCCAAAACTAGAACAGGGCCTGAAAAAGACACATTTACCAAGAATGTATAATAAATAAATAGTTCTTACCTGTATCCTAGAGTTTCCCCAGTCAGCCACTAGAATGTTTCCAAGGCTATCCACAGCCACACCAGTGGGTGCGTTGAACTGCCCATTCCCGACACCATTAGACCCAAAACTGAACAGGAATTCACCCTCACTGTCGAACACCTTGATGCAATGATTGTGGAAGTCAGATACGATGATGTCATTCTGGGTATTGACAGCAACAAAATGTGGTCCAGCGAAATTATGCTCTTCATTTCCCCGAGAGCCGAACTTCTTGATGAATTTCCCATTCGACTGAAAAATGCAGACGCAGCTGGCTTTGTTGTCAACAACAATGATATGCCCATTGTTGTCAATAGTGACGCCTTTTGGCCCCAGGAGTTTCCCAGCACCAATTTTGTTGATGTATTTCCCTTCCGGAGAGTAGATACTGACCCATTTATTGTCGTAATCTGCGACAATGTAATTGCCATTTTTAGAGATGGCAACACCAGTGGGACGTTGCATCTCCCCAGGATTCCTTCCACGTTTGCCAAATTTTAATTTGCAGTCCCCCTTATCATTGAAAACCTGCACAAACTGATTGTTACTGTCAGCTACAATGATTTTGTTGTCAGAAGTGCTGCATACCCCCTGGGGGTTTGTGAACTCTCCCTTGTTTCGACCTTTCACCCCTGCCCGAAAAATCAGATCATCCTCAATCGGGTTGCTTTTTCGATTTGAACCCCGCGAAATGGAGCTCGGTGGTCGCTTGGTGCCTTTTTGTTTCACTGGCGATGTTTTGGGGATCTTTGAACTTGAGGGTCTGTCCATGTTATCAGATGTTTCTTGAGTGGCTTTGAATTTGAACGGAGATCCTTTGATAGGCTGATTGTATGTTCTAATGTCCAGTTCATGTTTCCCCTCTTCAGGTACAAGATATATGAGATCATAGGTACCATTAGCATTATCAATTACCTGTGGTATGATACTTTGCCCCTTGGCCATTGTAATAGTCGCTGTCACAGGAGTTCCTCCCACTTTGATGAGGTTTCCATGGCGATCTTTAGTCGTTACAGTAATCAGAGTATTTCTTCCAACTGCACATGAACGTAGTCCATCTCCCGTTGCAGTGGTCTCAAAAGAAACCACACTGTTTGTGCGAATGCCCCCAAGCCTGTTCAGGTTGCCTTGAAGATGCTTTAATTCTATATCTTCAAATATCAAACAATCATTCTCCTCTGGCATGACCTGAATATCTGGCGACACAATTTCTGACAGTTTTTCGGCTACTTCTTTTTTGACTAGAAGAATCTCAGTTTCGTTACCATGTTTCAATGCATTATCAGTCACTTCACACGATTTATAAATATTCGTAAGTACATTCTCTAACATCTCTTTCTGCTCCATAAGTGTCTGCTGCTTGGCATTATGAGTAAGTTCAAGTTCAGATAATAACGTTGATCTTCGTTCCGTCAACATTTGTGAAATTTGATCAAAAATGTCATTAATTTGTTCTTCAGTTTGTTTACATTTCGCCTGAAGGGACTCAACTACTTCCGAGACTAGAGTTACTGCTTGCTTGATAGATGGCGCAGTGGCTTGTGCACGTTCCATCAACTCCTGTAGGTTCACTTTCTGTTCTTCTATGGCATCTTTAAGTAGTGTTGTCTCGTGGCTTACGTGCTCCAATCGTGTACAAGTCTCACAGACTGCTGTCTCACAGGAACTGCAGTAGTACTGTAGAATCCCGCCAACATGATTCGGGCACGATAGCGACGATTCTTCATTCTCAGGATTATCGGACATCGCAAGCTCATTGAGGCTTACGACTCTATGAGGCTTCTGTATATCATCAATTTCACCATTCATTTCTCCATTTTGTTGTTGATTATTGTGATTGTTCGTGCATTCTTCGCAAAGAAAATCACAACAGTCCAAACATTTCGACATGGCACGCTTATCGTTATTGCAGATGCTACACGTGTGGGTCGACTCTTGGGCCTCGACGAGATTATTAATCAGGAAGTTGTTCTGTAGAGCAGATACGCCCTCTTGTGGAAGAATCGATTGTTGACGGCAAATTGGGCACGTCACGGAGAGACTCTCAGCTGGGATGTAACTACTAAGGCAGCACTCACAGAATGTGTGAAGACAAGGGAGAACTTTCGGGTTACGATATCTCTCCTGACATATCCCACAATTCAAAAACTGTTTGTCCATCTGGCGCAGAACCGGGATATCGCTGGTGGCCATATTGAAGATACGGCGCGCCGCAACTGTGACCTGAAATTACACAAAAAAGTGGATCGTGAGTAAAATGTTCGATAATGTTTCTAAATACATAAAGATGTCTCTTGGGTATTTCCCATTAAAAATCTGACCATCAGATCACCAGTGAGTGTTATGATATAAAAGTCAAACATTTAAATTACAAATGAAATTAACATGGAATTTGAATAATAAAAACAAAACATACTGATAACAGAATATCAATTACATATTATATTTGTAATATTACAATTACAATTGCTTCAATCATGAAAATTCCCATCCTTAAAGAATATTAAATTCATGACAACACGCTTTCTATTCACTAAACCAACCCTTTTAAATCATAATAAAGATACACTTTAGGTGGGGTACAATTAATATAAGATCATTATTAATGAGACTTTAGGTGGGGTACATTTAACATTGGAACATGATATTTCTTAGTGACACTCTAAACTTCTCAAATCACTCTCAAAACACCCTGAATTTTTGTAATACAGAGGAGGTATCCTGCTTGGAATTAAGTACTCAAGGTAGAAGTTAAAATCATGGCGAACATGTTTTAAAATGCAAAATTAAGTAAAAAAGAGTGGAATCAGCAAGGAATAAAGTAACCAGAAATGAAGTAGATACTCTAAATTGTATAAAAATGCAAAAATATGACATAGTTCATTCAAGTTTTGTTGCGAAAATAGCACAAAAAGTCCTGATTCTGGAGAAATTTAAGCACTGGTTATATTACTAAGGGAGGATATAAACTAAATAGTTGCCACGTTTTTGGAAAATGAACTTGAATTTAATGCTCATTGTATTATTGAATTATTGTATTGAGGAATTTTAAATGAATAAAATGCTAATGAACAATTTAACATGTAAAACGTGCTTTTATTTGTCTCATTCGATTTAACATATTTGGTGTTTCGATTTGTATCAAAAAAATAACATAAGAATGACAAAGTCCCTGTTTTTTAAAATCACTACTCTCAATCAATATATTTAATATTGCTAAATAAGGTAAATGTTTACATCATTTTAAAATCGCTGAATATCTTAAATGTTAACATTAAACTACTCAACTGTTGAAAACATGAAATTAAGGAGCTCTAAAATCTACTTTAACTATTTAGAGGGCCTTAACTTCGATATAAGAGCACTTGGTTTTCAAAAATTTGGGTAACCATTTCTACAATGGTAAGCTAAGTGAGATCACAGTCTGGTGCACATTGTCAGAAAATCAGCTGGTTTCAGATATGAATGAATAGCGATATGTATAGCTGTGTGTGAAACTGGTCATAGAAAAGTCTACATGACTTTTAAGAAAACTTAAAGAATTTCAAGTTTAGAACCAAGTCTAGAAGGTTTAGAAGATATATTTAAAAACTTTTCAGGTCCGTAGCCAGGGGGGGGGGGGGCATTCGATGGGTTCGAGTGAAACCCCCACCCCCCCCCTCCACCCCCTGGCCAAAAAATCTTTCAAAATCATGCAGTTTTTCACCATTCTGAGCACTTTTTAAGTGATTTTGGCCATATTTGGACCAAAAATGTCACAAGTAAACCCCCTGGAATTCTTCAAAAAGTGAGCCCCCCTTGGCAAATCCTGGCTACAGGCCTGCTTTTGTCCTGAAACTGATTTCACACAAACTTGATATGAGATGTTAGAATGATTGAATGAGTTTATTTTTAATGCTATATTAAATGTAAAACCTGTATGTAGTGAACACCTATAGAGCCACAAAAAGTGTTCACTGTAGTTTGTTCCTTATAGAGAGGGGATTTTATACAAGAGTCAATGTGAAGTGTTTTTTCTTAAGTGATGTTCACAAAACACAGGTGTTCACTAGAAAGAGGTGTTCCCTGAGACAGATTTAAATATGTACTCAAATCACATAAGCTGAATATCAGTAAAAAAAATTTCAAGATATTTTTTCTCAAGAACACCATTTTTAATCTTGAAATAATTAGGATTAATAATATAATAAAGAAATTATTGGTTTTCAATTATACTCTGAAAAATATAAAAGCCATTAAATTACATTATTACCACCTTGCCGGGTCAGTTCTAGGGATTTTATTGCTAGTTTAGGAAGGCGTTCATTTTACTATATCGACCTGAGAAACATGTGACGTCATAGTGGTGGTCAAGAATGCATTTCACACCAGTCGAGAATGCATTTAACGACCGGCAATTTTCCCCGGGAAATTAGATATCGTTCAGTGCGTAAGATTTTCTTGCTGTTTCAGTCCTGGTCGTTAACGGTGGTAATAATACTAATAACGTCATTTCTGCAAGCAATATAGTGAAATATTGGACCTTATTGCCCTTAGAAATGACGTTATTGTACTAATATAGTCTCAGTCTTTGTATTAATGCAGTGGTTTAATGACAACCACATAAGGATGAAATAATAATATAAGCTCAGTAGTATTATTTAATTTCATAATGAGATTATTGGTCTATCAAAATATAGAAATATATGTACCACCAAAATTATAGCTCAAATATCTGCGCCATGAAACATACTAATTGTATTGTATTGTATTGAATTGTATTGTATTGTATTGTATTGTATTGTATTGTATTGTATTGTATTGTATCTTTAATTACCAAAAGTGTATATACGTAATATCAAAAACTATTTGAAGCACAATATTGCCTCAAAAATAATAGCAATAAAATGTCACTTTTTTATACTGTAATTTCAAAGTGATAAGTACTTATTAACCAATTTTGAGAATTAATGACTGGCAATTCTCAAGTCCTGGAGGTAGTTGTCTGGTTAAATGACATAAAATTGAACATCATGAAAATATGATATCATAAAAAATATAGCATGGGATGGCACTTGGGACATTTGCTTAACTTTATCACTTTAAACTGACAGATTTCGAATGTAGTCTACGTAAGAAGTGTTACACACTGATACGACCAGTCTGGTGTTTTTATTTCATAGATTCTGCAATAAGTAACTGCCCAACCTCCCCTCCCCCCAAAAAATGATTTCATTCATTCTACTTGAATATTTCACTCATGTTAATTAAAGATTTCACTCATTTCACCTGAAGATTTCACATGAACTTGATACTAGAACAATGATAGAGATAAAAAACTCCTACTATTACAAACTGAATATGTGAATAACCTTGAACTCATTCCAAAACAAAAGGGGGTGCATCTGTTTTTCCTCACTCCCCAAGTGATGGTTAGGTTTTAAAATTGATAATAAAATGAAAATAATGAAATCAGCAAGAAATAAAGTAAACACCCAAAAAGTTCACACTCTGAATTATAAATTAATGCCAGAAAATCAGGGAAACAATTCAGCTTTGGTTAGAGAAGATGAGAAACAGGTATGATCAGACTAAGATAATTTAGTTAAGGGTATGGCACAAAACCTTGATAACTGTGAATATACTTGGGTGCAGGGTCTTATTCAACATCAAATATAAACTTAACCATTTCAGGAAAATTTTGATCCGCTGCCTGGAAGCTTATATCCTATATGTCATACTGAGGAAATGTTGAGAGGACCCCTCCAGGTACAAAACACGATATTGGCCAAAACATAGTCATAAAAACCTCATAAATTGTGAAAAGGGGTAATAAAAACATCTAGGGTGTTTTGTATTGAAAATATACCTATTCTTTCACTTATAATAGAATGATTATAACTTCATTCATAAAAAATCAAAGGTTGGTTGATTTTACAATCAGGAAGTCTTTTCATAAAAATACAAAACCTAAACATCATATTTTGTTTTTTAATATTCTCATGAATAATCTTTCACTACATGTATTTTCATTTCCTGCCTAAATCCTTCTTTCTGACACCTTTCTTGATAAAAATCTATGGAACGTGATATTTCTCTCATATGTAACGCATTAAGAAAAAAAATACATATTTAATGCTTGCATGATTTTAGTACAAGACATTAACATGCAAAATGTCACCACCTGCCATTTGTTAGACACCAACAACTGAACACCAACCACCAAATGCCACAAACACCAACAGCAATCCACAAAAAAGTTGGAGATGATAACAATATATCACCACTTGTGGTGGTGACATAATCAAAGATCTTTTACGTTCAATTATGCTTTGTTATTTTTGTGAGTAAAGCCAGCCAGTGTAGAAAGAGGAATTTGTTTCCGATACATATTTTTTTTAAAATCAGAAATGTCATGAATAGAAAGGAAGCAAAAATATAAGCCTTCAGCTTCGAGTCTGGATTTAATTAAAATCGTAAGAGTTCATTGAAACTATAATGAAATACAATAAAGCCTCAGGTGCTACATCCAGGTTCAGATCTAATTTTTTAATAGATTGTGACGTTCATATTTATTCAATATTGCGTAGCTCATTTTTCAAACAGCTACAGTTCCTTTTGATGTTTTCCTCCAGTCTTTCAGATTCTATCTTGACAATTGAGTAAACACATTTCGTATACACATGATGTATGTTTATCCGTCTTTTTGACTGAACTCATTTCTAAAGATTTATTTTTCAATTTTCAAACACACTAAAGAGTCTACAGTTAAATCGTGGATTTTCAAACCAGACTTCAATGACCTTACTCTGCTTAAAGGGATCAATTACGATCACACAAAAGATGAGGAAGTTGTTCATTCTCGTCGTCCTTTCTTCAATCTGTTTGATGTTGCGATTTTGTTTGTTTGTGAAATTAAATAGATAATGATTTAAAACAGTTTCAGTTTCATTGATTGTGCCTGATGTGACCACCCTATATGCTGGCGAGACAACTCGACTTATCCAGTACTTTTATTTTCTCTATTCAAAATGCTCCAATACAAGCTATACATGCTCTTAATACAAGGGAAACTTTAAAACAACTTTCTCAAAAACTTCAATTTCGAAATTTTTGGTGGCAGCAATAATATTTGAGTTGTTCAATAACTTATGGTAATGAAAACACATAATGAAATCCTGTGCTAAAGACAAATGTGAACAAGCTGACAAAGATATTGTACCTTTTTATGTTCACCCCAGTGG